GGCTGTCTGTCACCTGGCAAAAAGAGAAGGCGATTTAATAACTCTGAACAAAGCCATTCCCTCTAGCAAGTCAAACCTTTAATTACAAAACATGATGTGAGACCAAGGCCACCTCATATTGCCTTGGTAACCTTGATACAAATCATATAAAGCAAATGAAGCATTTAAAAAGGAAAGAAGAGAAGAAATAGCTTTGTAGCTCAACTCGCAGACAGAAAAAGAGACAGGCAATGGAGAAGAGTGAAGCCGGGAGAGAGACGGTGAGCTGCTCCAGAAGCAGGCATATGAAAATTGATGGAGTCTGAGGAAGCAATTGATAGTTAGAGGACAGGAAGCAGGCTGTAAGGCAATTATCACTATCTCTGCCATTTGATTTAGGACCGTCTGAGTGTGTAATACTGTGAATTAATCACATCCAAGGGAGATATATCAAGAGCCCATTTCAGCCTTAAATTCCAATGATTCTTTTCCATTACTGGAAAACGTAGTTTAGAGATGTTCTAATTATCTCACGATATGAATTTCCACTCATGCAGGGTACAAATGTTATGCATGTGAGCATGTAGGCAGACGAGAGACAGAAGGATGCGCCTGATGAGATAGTTCCCTCATATGAATGCACGATGTACAATGCAGCTTAATCATCATAAACCAAAGCTACTGACAAATAGCAAAAGGACGATGCGATGCAAACCCACACAAACTTATGTGGGAAAAAAAACTGGAATACAGACATATGTAAATAAATACAAGTGTTAACACCCGAGAGACTGAATCCACACGTACAGAACGTACACATGCATATATAAACCATAATGTGCCACCCACATCCAATCTTAGCAGGAAGCCGCTCCAGCCGTTGCTTCCAGATGAACAGTTACATGTAAGACATTAGATTTACTCGTGTAATATTATTCTTAGTCTATTAAGCAAATGTTTGCAGCAATAATTAAGTTTTATTCATTTTCACAGAAGGTTTAATTCAACAAAAGGGGGTAGCATAGACTGTTGTTCAGTAATCCTGGCTGCAGATGGCCTGTAATGAGTTTTGTGTTTCATTACAACAGTGGGTATCACTATCTACAAAAATTATTCAAAAGAAACAAAGAAAAACTTGCCTTGATGGATTTCATTTTAAAGTGGAGTTATACATCCATGATGTAAATAGATATGCAGACCATTTGTGCCCCCTAATGGAAAGATTTATTTTTCTTGTGTAACAAAAATAACAAAACAGTTCTTAAAAGATTTTGGGGTTTTTTGGTAAATGTTTTCTAGTTAGATACCAGTCAGAGCTCTGTGTCCAAGATGAAAGTTATTGTGTGCTACTCCTATTTGACTGTACCCTGGACAGATGAGGAAAAACACCTGTTTGATATTATTGCCATATTTCTACCACAGCATGTTCTGTATTAGCCTAAAAAGCTACTCTATAATCTCACAATAGTTTTTCTTAATCCTACTAACAGTTTTTAATCAGCTAATTTCCATTCGGCATTACTTTGGTCTTCATGCATTTATTACATTTATTACAAAAGAGCCATTTTAAGTTAAGTGGGGGTTTTTCATTTGTTTTCCAGTCTTTACTGTATATCTTCATGTGGACAACTCTGTCTATTTTACAGTTATTGGGATGAAAAGTATTTTCAGCGGAAAGAAAACCTACTATGAAAACACGAACCATGATAAATACAACATTTGCTTTTGCTTATTTTGTTACCTCACAATACATCTTCAGGGTTTTTTACCTGAGATAAGTCGGTGTGCTGTAGGGCTACTGCCGCTTTCACCAAACGACAAGGCTGCCCTCTGCTGGTGACAGCAGGTACAGTGTGTCTGAGAAATGACTATCCTTGAGCATGTGTCTTTAGTGCATGTTATTTATTTTCACAGTCGCAACAGCTGTAGTTCAGTTTCATTATACTTCCTATGTTATATTATTATGTCTTTAGTGCATGTTATTTACTTTTACAGTAAATAACATGCACTAGCTGTAGTTCAGCTGTAGTTCAGATTCATTAGACTTCCTATGTTATATTATCCTAGTGTATTCTGGTGCTTTCAGTAGAATTACATGTACTGTTACTGTCCACTTCATTTTACCTTGACCTCTTTTACCTTCAGAACTGCTGTAATTCGTCATGACACAGATTCAATAAGGTGCTGGAAATATTCATCACAGATTTTGTTCATGTTAGCATTAAAGCGTCACACAGCTGCTGCAGATGTGTCATCTGCACATCCATGATGGAAATCTCCTGTTCCACCACGTCCTAAGGGTGCCCTGTTGGATTGAGATCTGGAGGCCAGTTGAGTACAGATGATAATGAGTACAACTCAGTATCATCTTAAAGAAACCAGTTTGAGCCTTGTGACTTAGTGCCTTTAACCAGCTGGAAGCAGATATTAGACGTGATCATAAAGGGATGGACATAGCCGGCAACACTAGTCAGAGAGGTTGTGGCTTTTTAACGATACTCAGTTGTTGTTTGCCAGGAAAATATCCCCCATGCCATTACGCTGCCATCACCAGCCAACAAACTGTTAAATACAAGGCAGGACGCTTCCCTGCTTTCATCTTTAGGCCAAATTCACCATCGGGACCTGTAGTCCAATCAGAAATCAAGACTTCAGAACGAGGCCATGTTTTTTCAATCCTTTGTTGTCCAATATTTGGTGAACCCATGCAAACTGTAGCCTCAGTTTCCACTTCCTGCTGCTGTAGACCATCTGCTTCACGGTTGAACATGCTTTGCTGCATACCTTAGTAGTAACAAGTGTTTATTTGGGTTACTTATTCTTCTTATCATCTCAAAGCAACCTGTGCATTCTCCTCTGACCTCTCACTGGACAGTTTCTCTTTTTCAGACCATCCTCTGTAAAACCCCAGAGATGGCTGTGCGTGAAAATCCCAGCAGATCAGCAGTTTCAGAAATACTCAAACCAAGCAGCCACGCTGCGTTCAGAGTCACGCAAATTACCTTTTGTCACAATTCTGATGCTTGTTTAAATTTCAGCAGGTAATCTTCACAATGCCTACATGTGACATGTTGAATTGCTGCCATGTGATTGGCCAGTTGTTAATATCTGGCGTGGCCGTGAGTATATACTCACAAAGAGCTTAATTCTACAAATAAAAATAGGAACTGGAGTCAGTTTCTTGGGTCATGTTACAGAAAGTAACAACCTTGCAATATTTCGATGAGTGAGTGAGAGAAAAACAGTTTTCAGTCATTTATGATTCTTTAAAATATTTAAATCAAATGTCTGAAAGTGATGGACCGAGCAGCGAAGGAAACTTAGGCACAGTTTAAACATAATTGGTTAAATCATGCAAAAAGAATCCAAATCTTGGGCCCATAAAAGAGGTCAAAATAACAGAACTCTTCTTAAAGTTGACAACAATACTGATAAATGGTAAAATGGTAAATGGCCTGTATTTGTATAGCACTTTACTAGTCCCTAAGGACCCCCAAAGTGCTTTACACATTCAGTCATCCACCCATTCACACACACAATCACACACTGGTGATGGCAGCTACACTGTAGCTACAGCTGCCCTGGGGCGCACTGACAGAGGCGAGGCTGCCGGACACAGGCGCCACCGATAACTCAGACAAACTAACTTAAAGAGACAAAGGGGAAACTTAAATAGTGGCTGATCAGCCCACAAAAACACAGAGGGGTAAAACACAAAACCTAACTGAAACTAACAAAATGAACTCCAATCCCCCCCATGGTCCCGAGTTATGGAATGAGCCAATTTGCAGTTTTCCATCAAAGCTTGCTCCGCCCCTTTTCCACCTGCTCCTCAATCAAGGGACTGGAGCAGCTGCAACTAAGGTAACTCAGAAAACAAAAGATTAATCATACATAACAGTGTAAACTAAAATGTGCACACTTATTTTAGAAAGCAATGTCATGTGGATATGTGAATTAATTCTAAACCAAAACCAGTTATTAATTGTCCTGTAAATTAATTCCTATATTTAAAGACAAATGTGAATGCAATGTTGTGTATAAGGCTCTACACTATTATGGTGGATATCACCCCTGTGTGGCTGTAAGTGCAGCCATCACATTGAAATTAAATTTGGCAGGTAAAATTCAGACGTGACCTCAAACATTCACACGGCTTCTTTCCCAAGGAAAATGTTTCACAGCTGTTCGGCTGGTGCAAAATTGGCAAACTGGATATTTCAGTTTCTTTAGAATCAGTACAAACAACATAGGAGAATTTCTGAATGTACCGTAACACTTTATTTTCTTAAATACAACAGAATATTAGTACAGTCAGTTACACGTATTTTTAGAGGCAGAAGACATTCTCGTCCCTTTCAACCTACTTTTCTGAACGGGATAAAGGGAAACCCTCAGTAGTATCAGAGGCTACGTTTGAACATACACACACCCACACACACACACACGCTTGCATGGAGTGCTGGCCTTATTCCAGTTAAGATCTCCGGTTTAATCGGCACGTATCGCAGACAACCTGTGACAGAGTGTCTTTGTTGCCACAAATAATCAGTTAAGCAAAGAAATACTTGTTACTTTGTAACTGTTCCCCTCCAGTTTCAAGAAAGTTACGTTCTCTCTAACACACAGAAAAGACATTATAATCTATAAAGTAGTTGTTTTGGTCCCTTTGATGGTCACAACAACACCCTTATGTTACAGATAGGGCTGGGCAGAGGTTTAGGAGACATCGGTTGCCAATTAGAAATGATTAGCCCATAATGGATCATTTCAGTGAAGACTGTGAAGACTGTGTGCAGAAAATCTGTTTTATACACAAGAGCTTCACAACATAATTTCTCTCAGCAGGAGTACAGACTTGACCACGTTATTCTGATTTATGACATTTGAGGAGAAAACCAGAATAACCGCATTATCAGCCTCCATGCATGTAAACACAGCCAGTGCTGTCAGCTACAATATATATATATATATATATATATATATATATATATAATATATATATATATATATAATATATATATATATATATATATATAGTGTGGATTTAGACAGTGCATGATGAGACCAATTTATAATTAGGTTTATAATCAAGAGAATTATGGTTAAATCTCCACTCAAATCGATGTCTTGCATTCTGTCTGTTCATTCATCTTTCAGTAAAGCCATCCCTGAAGCAATAACAGATTCATTGGCACATTACAGCACTGTCATGAACAAGGAGTGCAGTCATTAATATAGATCATTTCTGGCATTTGAGATTTTGTGAGATAAAAATCCAAGCGGCGTTATCACAGAAGCCATATTTGTGAGATATTTTTATAAGAACTGCCATTAACCAAAGAGATAAACCAGAGGACTCTTCAGAGTGAGGCAGTATGAAATTACAATATTCATACCCATTACAGTCTGATGGGCAGGAGGACACAAAACACGCTCTGAAAGGAAGCAGCAAAAGAGTAATGTGCTGTATTCCACAGAAAAATATTGTGCATTCACCTCCGAATGCCATCAGGTGGGGAGAAAATGGGATGCAAAGAAAATTTCAAGAGAAATACAGCTATTTACAGGGTAAGAAAGAAGTGCAAGGCTAAGCTTTCATAGACATTCACACACTTATTATCCACGGTATATACCAAAAGACATGCGTAGAGGCACATACATATTCATCATACAAAAAAAAAACCATACTAAAAGCAGGTCAGACGCAGCTTTTTCCTTTTTCCACGACTCGAATCGACCAACAATGAAAATGATTCACGCAAAGCACTGACATCACAGGACGTGAAAAGGCAAAAGCTGAAGTTCCAGCCCTTTGAATTAAAGAAAATAGAGAAAGATTAACATTGTCACAACAACAAGGAGACATCAGTAATCTTCCGCTCATCTTTTAACCAGTGTAGAGTGCCAGCCTCCTTTTCAACAGAGTGTCATCGAATCCAAGGAAAAGGGTCTGCTTTTCATAAGGAGGTAAAATATTTGGTTTTCAAATTGGGTTTCCATCTTTGTGGACTGTGTTGAAACATTAGCGTGGCCTAGTGTTAGCGCCTTGGGAAATGGAAAAATAATCCCTGCTTTGATATCCAAACCTAACCAAAACCCAAAGAAACACAAAAGAATATCAGGACATTGAGAAAAGCACCAGTGTAAAACTTAACAGGAGCTAAAAGTTAGTCTGAGGGACTATAAATACTAAATTCAAATGCTACAATTTGATTAAGACAGTCAGATTTTTTCCAAATACAATTAAGAAGGCAACTGAAGAAACTAGCCTCTCAATTTTTTTGCTAATCTGTGCACAAAGACTTTTTTTCTTTCGTAAAGTAAAACATTCCTTCAGACCGTCTAGAAAAGATAAATAAATAAAGAGAAGTTAGGATGTAAGGGTTTGTTGCAGGGTCCGCATTGCTACAGATGAGCTGCAGGAGCCCCCTTTCCCCCCCCCTTTAAGTCACAACAACACCGCCTCAGTCAATATTTAGTTCACTGTTGTTTGGCAGAACACAGAGAAGAAATAATCAGAAGTCACTATCACGAGCTGATAACTTTCCTTGACAAAAACATTTAAGTTATTTTAGAACAGTCACTATAGAGTAAAATAAATGAGACTTTGTTTGACTTGTTTGTTTTGTTTTTTTTAAATAGTCTAAACTCTCACTCTTCCTTCTCGTGGAGAGAGGCCCGCACGCGCTGGCGCACGTAAAACGCGGTGAGGGCGCTGCAGCAGGCAGTGAAGATGAAGAGCGCCACGGCGTCGTGCGCGAGATCCCCGTGAAGACGCTCGTACAAGGGGCGGCGCACTGTGAAGTCTGTTCGCAGCGCTTCAATCTGCACCAGGGTGCAAACCACCACAAACACGTGAAAGATCTGGTGGCCCTGCCCGATGAAGTCACACTTCCCAGGGAACAAGCTCTCTGGGTGAGGGCAGCAGAAGAAATAGGCGCTGATTAAGAAAAAGAGCACGTGGTAGAAGTGGTACGTCACCATCGGGTCGGAGCAGCCCTCCTGGTAGCACCTGTAAATGCGATGGACTACGGGGCTGATGTCTAAGCAGTAAGCCAAGGCTGAGGGCACCACTTGAAAGAGCTTGAGGACCAGCTTGGGCAGCTCGGGACTGGCATATTTGCCATAGCAGCAGCCGAAGCACGTGAGCCAAGCCAGGAATGCCGCAGCGGGCAAAAAGATCCCTTGCACAGTAGTGTGCAACTCTTTCTCTATAGCGTAGTAGTAGTGTGCCAGAGCGCTCCCGTACTGGTAAACGGCAACCCCCACGTAGTCGAGGAAGTAGAAGGTGTAGTAGGAGAGCTCCGACTTGGCAGAGAGGAGATGAGCGAGAGCACTGAATGAGAGGTAGGTGAAAGCTGCCAGGAGCACGATGAAGAGGGGCTGAGCGTGAGGATCTCGCAAGAAGTCCACCGTCTCCGAGATCTCCTGCCACTTCACCAAGATGATGAGGGCAGCCAGCAGATGGGTCCACACGTTGAGGGTCTCGTTGTGCCTTTGGAAGAGGGTGAGAAAGTAGTACCGCCAGCTCAGGTCCGGCTGTCTGTACCCCGTGTGGATGTGGCGCTCGCGGAACACCCACGGAACGTCGGACAGCTTTACAGTGCAAGGCAGGGTTGGAAAGGCCGACTCGAGCAGCTGAGGGATCTGCCGCAGCTGCTGCACGTTGATAAACAGGCGACCGATCTGTTCCATCACCACCGTTGCCATGGCGAACTGTAGACCAAAGAGGAGGGTTAGTCAATACCTGCCTTTGAGCCACACTTGTGTCAACATGTATGAACACATTTATAAACTGCAATACTACTGATATCACAAAGCAAATCTGAGCAGCGGTCATTGGATCACTGAGCAGAATGACACCCAAAAACAGCACAGGTTATGATTTTAGGTCATTTTGGGTGGGGGGGTTTAATCGTCACACAGTTCACCGTGGGCACTGGAGGACTTGACATCTTTTTCATTGTTCACTGCTTTTATTATTTAAAAACAATCAGAAGATTGACTGAATGTAAAAGCCATCAGATGCAACATGAAATTAAATGAAAAATTATAAACTAAATTAATTAATTTAATCTAATGAATTTGTTGGCCACCGGGGGGCAGTGAAACTATGTGACAACTTGACTTAATATTACATCTGTCACATGTCAAACGTCAGAACATTTCCGACTTCTTGGCAGCTAATTATGCAACTGTGTTTCTTCTGTTGGAGGCCCTGCTGGTGGTGTGCAGTGGGTTTTATCTTGAAAAGCTTTCTGCTAAAAATAACACAGCTAAACTGGCTAAAAGTGGGGTTGATAAGAGTCTAGATATAAACAGCAGTGATCTATAAATCGGTAGTTTAAACGGCTCCAATAAAGATGACCAACTAGTTGTTATTGTCTGCAGAGAGAAACAGTTTAAGCTCCCCCACAGCCTTTCTGATCCACTGTTGGTAACAAAACATTATGGCTCAGCGCAGCTTTAAGTGTTTCCCGTCTGAAATTAAATTAAATTGTATTTATAATAAAAGCAGATGCCTCAAGGTACTTTATATTGTAAGGTTAAGACTCTAAAGCTGTCATGGTCCTGCGACCATGACTCAGTGACTTTATGTTTATGTTCTTTATTGTTATTACTTTCATTATTATTCATGGCTGTTTTGGGATGGTTTGTGTTTGGGATTTTAGACACTGGGTTCTGGGTTTGTGCTCCCTCTGTTGGTCCCTGGTGTTAGGTTAATCAGGTCCAGCTGTTTCCCCCACCTGTGTGTGATTTCCCAGTGTCTCTTTGTGTATTTATAGTGTGTGATTTCCTCTGCTCCTCGTCGCGTCGTCTGTGTTCATACCTGGTGTAATCCCCTGCGTGCTCTCCCTGCCGTTCTCCCTTCATGCTCAGGTTTGCTATTTCTTTGTGTAGTTTCTCCCAGTTAGTTCATCCTTAGTTCTGTTTTACCATCCCCACTTTATATTGGATATTATCAATAAATCACCCTCACACCTGAATAAGTGCTGCGTTTTGAGTCCTCCTTCTGCTCTCCACACGGCCGCTGCCCCGGACCGTGACAAAAGCAATACAGAGAAAACCCCAGCACTCAAACGGCCTCTTCGAGCAAGCACTAGGTGACAGTGGGAAGTAAAAACTCCTTTTTAACAGGAAGAAACCTCAGGCAGAACCAGGCTCAGAGAGGTGAAGCCAGCTGCTGGGACCAAAGGTAACTTATCCAAAATTTAATGAGCTGATTTGTGTGTCTGAAAGTGTCCTGAAGCCTCTACGCTCCACTCACCATAATGCATCACTTTGAAGGGTGGATGCACACCACGGGACCTCGGGTACAATAAAGCTCTCACCTCAGCTCATAAATTCTGCACTGATTGAAAATGGGGAGAAATTGCTTCCCAAAAAGTGCAGCACTTGACACACAGTGAATGTTTGCTACTCGGCTAACTTAAAAAATGCACGATGGGTTTGAAAATGGGGTTTGATCTAAAAGACCTGCAGCTGAAAAAGTGTTGCTATTGACATAGAAAGTACTAATGGGTAAAGCAAACTGACGACGGTAATCTACCTACATTGTGCTACACAGTTATCCAAAAAGACACCGATATCACAGTATAACTAGCTAGTAGTAGGCATGATCTGTGCCTACTAAGCAGCCAAAGTACCACACAGTAGTTTAGCTCCTCCTTTTCAAATAAAGCTCAGTTTGGAGCACGATGTGGGAAAATACAAAGTTTCTATAAATCTTCCTGTAAAGACATTCTTTGTGTTCTGTTGGGCCAATTAAATCAGATTTTGTAAACTACGCTCAGAATGCTGAGTCACGTGTGCGTAAGGGACCCTAAAAAAGGTCATTTAATTCATCAATACTTCTTTTGATTAACATGTGGAGAAGGGACTAGGAAAGGCAGAGAGCGGAGGCAGCAGCGTTGCAGAGATCATTCTGTGTGGGATGAACAAGGGCCGGCGATCAGGAGGGATGGCGTGGAGTGATGAATGAGGGGGGGATTACGTAACATAACCCCATCCGGCGTCCACACCCTCCGCTTCCAACAATTGCGATGCACGTTGAAATATTTATGGATGAAAGAAAAATTCTCGAAAATACTGAAAAAGCGTGCTTGTGTGTGTGTGTGTGTGAGAGAGAGAGAGAGAGTGCTAGTGGGTATTAAACGCGGGCCTTTACGGGCCTGATGCAGCCAATTCCCCCCGAGCAAGCCTGCACCTGATCACCATCGGTCTGCTTTAAACTTGACACCCAGTGGCCGGGATGAATTTGCATGTACCTCTCCACCGACCATCGTCTCGCTTCGATTCCCCGTGGACGCCACATAACTGCAGTTAGGCATTAGTGCTGAATGAGCCCGAGAAATGCCGCTGCACGATGATAGAAAATAACAGGGCTTTGCGTTCGAGGCGCATCCTTCCACTGATGCAACGAACGTTCTAGATAATTCATAGATTGAGGCTAATGGCAAAATAAATACACATACCTGTTCGACGGGAGAATCAATCCAGAGCCGAAGATACAGGAGAGGATGGACGAGTTAGAGCCGTGGAGATCATGGATAACATTATCTGACGGCGGTGAACATGCAGCGGAGAAACGTGACGGGAGCGGCGCCTGGCGGCTCTCACGGCTCAATCGCTGGGAGGGCGGACATCGCTTGGTGAACGGACTGATGTTCTAGCCAATCAGCAAACACGAGGCTTCTTCTGCAAATCCATTCGACCAATGATAGCTAACGCCGGCAAACGAGCCCACTCCCCCACAGAAAATCTTCCACTGTCATATGTATATATAAGAGCTTTATACGTCCAGTCGCTGTTAGCTAAGTGTTAACACCTGTTCTAAAATAGTTTGAAGTTTATGTTAATAAGAGAAAAGAAGAATTTAATATATTTAGTTATTCCTCAGTCTAATGACCGTTTCGTTGTTCCAGCACCACAAAATGCAAATGCAATGCTGCATTTCCCCTCTTGTTTACACACTCACCTGCATGTAGTTTACCCTCTGTGGGAACAGGCTGATGAATCTTTCAGTAGCCCTGATAAAGATTTAAAAGTTTTTCAAATCAATCGTTTTAAACACGAGAGCCACTGTCACCACTTGTGCAAATGAGTTGCACAGTTGCCACACAGTTCTTCCTGAGTACTGTGACAAAGCACTAAAACACGATATCGTGAAGCCCATAAAACTGGACGGCACTGCTTCTTCAGTGTCTCAGCTTCAGAGATACCTTTCATAACACAATGCCAACTCCACTGGGTCTAATTTGCTTATCAAAACAGGCAATTTCCCTGCTTCTTAGTGGTGGTCAGATTACGTTTACAGCCTATAGTCTTTCCATTCTTTAACAAAGTTTCATTTAACTGCAACCAACCACCCTACTCAGTCTATATTCCCAGACGGATTTAAGAGGCGTGCCTAAAACAGAAATAATAATGTGTTGGTCTTTTGGGTATTTATCCTCTCTGTATCTTAATGTCAGCTCGGGGGAACATGAGCTGAACACACATCTTTGTGTAGCAAAAAAAAAAAAAAAAAAAAAAAAAAAAGTCTGTCCAGCAATCCAGAGAAATCCAGAAAATACTGAGAAACGATTCTTGAAGTCAGGCCAGCTTTTGTCCCCTGTGTGGTCAGACAGGGTAGGAGCAGTGCACTATAGGACATAGTTCCAGGCTGATGAGTTCAGCTGTTTTTCCAAACACATGACAAAGAGGGATTGTACAGAACTGCGCGCAAGACTCCAACACAAACACTCTTATATAAACATTTTTGCAGCGTATGGTGCACACAGAGTATTAAACTTCCAAAGAAAACCTGTAAGACAGTGCAGCATGGTGGTGCAGCGTTCAGCACTGTTGCCTCACAGGTGAAGGGCCTGAGTTCAATTCCACCATCTGGATGGGGTCTCTCTGTGTGGAGATTGCATGTTCTCCCTCTGTTTACAGTTCAGAGACATGCAGCTAGCGATAGTAGGCTAATTGATGATTCATAGGGCAATTTAGAATGTGATCTGAATGGAAAAGAGTTTATCATATAGTCAAATGGATGGTACTGTTTCAGGTGTAGTTCTCAAAAATAGTAACATTCATACTGTTTATTGGATTTTAGCTTGGTAAGATTTTTCTTCTGGTCTGGTCCTGTTCTTTTTCTTTTTATATCTTATAAATATTTTAGAAAAATATATTTTATATCTTTCTGTTAGATGACAGTTGTAGCCATGGTTGAACGCTTAGGATGGAGAAAAGGTCTTACACTGACTGCCATATAGGATATGTAAAAGATAAGGGTTGTGAAGGATTAGGATGAAAATATGCTGAAAAGAAAAAGGATCGAGAGACTGAAAGCAGTGCTCTGAAGCAAAGAAGGAGAGAGAAAGAAAAGGTTGGATCGTGTGGAGATTGTAGATCAGAACGTTCATGAGGATGAAAGGTATGAGGATTTTCATGGGGGATGGTTTGAGGGATGTTTGATCAGGGATGTTTGACACAATGTGTGTGTGTGAGCAGAGAAGAAGCATGTTACTGATAAAGTAACAAAAGGCAAATAAATCCATGTAGCAATTAAGTCACGGTAAATATTAGGGGAAGATAGGTTAAGAAGAGATCTAATGATTAATGAGCAGCAAAACAAACACCACAGATGTGATGTTTAATATGAGGTCTGAAAGCTTCTTTTTTTTATTTGCAGACAAATAATGAGGAACTGCATAGAAGTAGAAGTGCGGTGCTGTATGAGGAAGTTAAGAGAGACAGAAATGTGAGGGTGATTGATGAGGGAAGAGAGATGGTAGTGAGGTTTGCAGTAGAAGTGACAGATAGGTTCAAGTTGGAGGATGGATTACACACAGAGTCGATGTTCAGCCCTTTCCTTGAAGGACACGCTGGCAGACAAGATCCCACAAGAGTGTCTGTGGTCTATGCTGTTTGCAGATGACATTGTGATCTGCTTCAAGAGTACAGAGCAAGTCAGGAAGATCCTGGAGAGTATATCCTCTGGGGGAAAAAAAACCCCATGAAAGTCAGGACAGTGCATGAATGAGAGAGAGGACAGTGGATAGGACAGGTGAGAGGATTGGTTAGCTGAGGTGGCAACGGTTGAGGGGTCAAGTGACTGATGCGTGAACGAGAGGTGAGAGGTACGGTGGAGTGCATGTGTCAGAAATGATTTACCACAGATGGGCATACTAGCAAGAGTGAAGACAAAGGTTTACACAATGGTAGTGAGAGCAGCTACTATGTTAAATGGACTGGAAATGGTGCCAATAATGAAAAGATGGGACCCTAAAGGATGGAGGTGGTGAAGGAGAATACAGGTAGCTGCTGTGATGCATAAAGATTAAAAGGACAGGAAAAGAAAAATGTGTTGACTTCTAATGGGACAAACTGGAAGATGAAGAGCTGACGTAAATTGGGGAAAAAAGGTTAATCCTTACACAGCACACAAGTCTAATACCCATGAAGCTAGACCAGTGCCAATCATTAAACTATTAACAGAGACACTATAATTTATTCTACAGAAGAAATTTTAATTTCATGTTCATTACATTCTGTAAATAACCAAGCAATAAACAGAGAATGAACTGTATTTCACAATGTGAATAAGATTCCAAAAAGAAAACAAAAATAGGGGAAAATAGGAAAAAAAAAACATCCTAATATACAAATTAAGGGAATAAAATATGTTATACACCAAAACTTGAAGCTCTTAAAACTCTAAGACTTCAATAATCAGACATGTCAAGCAGGTCACTGAACACAATCAGCACTTACCCAGTGCCACTTGGCAACCGGTTACACACTGACTGCAATTCTGTGCAAGTTGAAGCAAAGGTAAACAAACCCATAAAAACTGACGAGAACTTTATGTCCTTACACAAAGCGGAACATTATGTGGCAAGCAGGTGCTACCTTACATCAACCTGAAAAAGTCCACAGCCACAGGTTCTTTAGGAAAATGTAAAGTCAGCCGTAAATAAGAAAAAACATTAAATAAATATAAGCCTCTAAAATTTCACATAATTTTTTTCAGATCTAGCAGCTAAGAGAGCATTTGACACTCCCTGAGCTCATCTCCCGCACAAGAATGCTACTTTATGACATTTTCTAACTCCACCGTGCAGTTTATGCCACTGCATTTAAAATGGCATTACAGTATATGTAAAGGTGCTCGGATACACGAGTTTTATTCTTTGGCATTTTGACCACTTAAAGAATTATTTGTTTCATTCAGAGTTTCACGTAATTTACAGATATTACATCATTAAAAAGAAATAGAGCAATATTTTAAAACACCATCCAGCATTTGATATCAACAAACGTGGTTAATCCCCGATCTAAAAGCTGAGGTATCAGGGAGCTCTAGGCTGTTTTTTTTCAGTGAGTTTATTTCTACTGTTCCACCTGGGTGGTTTTAAGAGAATGGATTGGGTGTTCTCCAGCAGCTTTGACTCAGAGTACAATGCACTTCAGTCACAGTTTGATAGTTTAATTTAAAATCCACTGGACCTAAGTGTAATTCAGTGTATTTTCCCCCAGATTTTCCAGTCATCTAAAGAAGGGCATCGCGTGCATAACGAATTCATCATGAGATTTTTGTTGGCAGCAATCTGCATAAGTTAGAGATGAGCACATGCAGAAAATACATCCTTTCATCTGCGCTAAAAAGCACTTCTAGTGACAAAGTTTTGTCATGTTTTCCCAGACAACATGTAGCTGATGTGGAAATTGCCTTGTTGATATAAAGTATAATTCTTTTCACGTCTTGTATCAAATTATTTTTGTATTTAGAATTGCTGGCAGCACGGTGGTTAGCACTGTTGCCGCACAGCAAGAAGGTCCTGAGTTAAATTCCACCATCAGGCCGGGGTCTTTCTGTGTGGAGTTTGCATGTTCTCCCCGTGTTTGTGTGGGTTCCCTCCGGGTACTCCGGCTTCCTCCCACCGTCCAAAGACATGCAGCTTGTGGGGATAGGTTAATTTGATAATCCAAATTGCCATTGTGTGAATGTGCGAGTGAATGTGAGTGCGAATGGTTGTCTGTCCCTGTGTGTTGGCCCTGCGACAGACTGGCGACCTGTCCAGGGTGTACCCCGCCTCTCGCCCTATGACAGCTGGGATAGGCTCCAGCGCCCCCCAAAAGGAGAAGCGAATGGATGGATGGATGGATTTAGAAATGCTTTATTGACCCGTGATACCATATCAGTGGCGTGAGACAGTGTCTTTCATTCAATACACTATATCTAGTCAAGTACAGAGGCTACTGGTAACTTAGTATAGCAGAAGCTTGTGCAATATCAAGAAGATACATTACTGTTTAAGTCTTAGCTGTGATCATACCTGCACAACTACAGAATTTGGTTCATGACCTTTTAAATAAAAATTCTTGACTCTAACATTGCTATCAGTTTGCAGTCTCACTGTTAGCTTAAGTTTGCAACCAGTTGAATTGGGGAGATTCCACTCCACTTTTTCCCATTCATATATGCCAGAAGGGTCAAAACAGCAAAAATGAGCAAAACCCTTAAAATGTAAAACTGTCAGCAGGTGTCAGAAGAGTCCTGAAACCATACAGCATGAAGCTATAACATCTTCATTATAATTAGTAGATGAATCATCACAGTACAGAAAGTTGAAAAAGGATAAAAACTT